TGATGGACGCGAGTCACCTAGGACCTACCCTTGCCTATCTCAAAAAAGTCGACGACGCGACGACCGACAAGGGATATGGAAGTGGCTGGTAAGCTATATAACTCCTATGGTGTATTGATTCGAACACGAGATGAGGTTAGGTTCTTACGACTTCCTCCAGGTTCAAGATTCAGCACGACGGTTACAATGACGGAGTCTGGGGCACCTCGAAAGTCATCGACAACGCGGGCAAACAACCCATCAAGATTCCAGACTGCCTACCTGACGGGCAGTACCTCCTCCGTGCCGAAATGATCGCACTTCACGCAGCTGGTGCCAGCAAAGGGGTGCAGCTGTATAGTACGTAACTATAAGTCGAAAAACTGAATCTGTTCTATATCTATGTACTAACACTTGACGCAGTGGAATGCGCGCAGATCAACATCTCCGGTGGTTCCGCGACCAAGACGCCGACGACCTACAGCCTCCCCGGCATCTACAAGCAGGACGACCCGGGCCTGCTCATCAACATCTACTCCATGAGCAAGGATAGCAAATACATCATTCCCGGTAAGTATTCTTCTAAGCGACTCTGCGGCGTTTTACTGACGCGGATATGATAGGCCCCGACCCTTTCACCTGCGCGGCAAGCGGCAACGAGGGCTCCCAGCCCGAGCCCACATCCGCGCCCGCGCCCACCACGACCGCAGCGCCCTCGACGCCGAGCTCCCCTTCGGGATGCACCGTCGGGCAATGGGCGCAGTGCGGCGGATCCGGATTCACGGGATGCACTACTTGCGCGAGCGGATTGACTTGTAAGAAACAGGTACGTCGGATCGATCGACTTTCGGTACCTTTCTTAGGTACAGGTAGAGATGCGTGTTGCTGACTTATCTTCGCAGAACGACTACTATTCTCAGTGCGCCTAGATAGGGAGGCACCTAAGTTAGAGAGATAGAGAATTTAGAGCATTAATACGAAGCATTGATATAGGTAGATACTGTAGTTACATATGTCCATGCCTCCTACGTTGAGGACTTGTGACTATCACTGCGAAAAAAAGATACCTACTGCACATGTGGCATGAAGAAAAGTATTGGTTCTAATATTATTGTCATCTAGCTATTTGGCTAGGTACTATTCATTTATACATCTAGGTATTAGGTTCCTTTTTTTCAGGTTTTATTTATGTTGCCCTAAGTATGAGAGCCCTCACCAGGGGCTTAACAGCTATAAGACGGATAGATAGAGTCTCTCTTCCTTAGGTCCGATAAATCAGCCCCATTCGCTAGAGTGACTGTGTCAGAGCTGCCTGGGAGAAACGCGAGATTCCTCGCCTAACATGACGCTGTCGGCCATCTCGAGTAGACTTTCTCCCGCTGTCAGACCCGCCCCCTGGTGTTTGGTCTGGCTCTGATGGGGATGGGTTTGGTGCTGGGGCTGGCTTTGGAGGTAGCGGCCGTGGCCCTGGACGGGAGACTTGATTCTGCCCAGTTGTATCGTAGCCGCTTCGACCTTCGTCGACAAGAAGTTGGCTGTCGAGCTCTGAGTTCATGGTCCGCCCGTGGCATCTCTGCTGCCCGTTTCCGACTTTGCACATCTTAATACTAGGTGACATCGGTACGCCTGTTGTGTGCAAATTCTTCTTTTACCACGTCTCTTAAAAGAGTAAGTCCTCAAGCCAGACACTGCGGAAATAACAGGTTGTTGGGAAGGGGGGATTCTCGATTTCGTATGATGTACCTATTATACTACTTACTTAAATCTGAGGCAGCCCAGATATATATATATTCGTATTTCCATTTTCTCGTGCAGTAACAAACAGATTTGTCATTGTCATCATTACCTTGTTTTGCTGTGTTAATTTTCATATGCTCTTGTTAGGAACACAGTGATGGAGACGGGAATATGCATATAATCGGCCTTTCTCCTTCACAAAAGACAAAGTATCCTTCATTTGTTACACAAGAGCTCGATCCATTGCCATTGTATCACTACCCGATTATATAAAACCGCTTCAGAAATGATATGTGTTACCCGTATATCTTTCTTTCTTCATTCGGTACCCATAGCCATTCAGGGTGACGGGTTTTCCTCGGCGTCTGTGACGAAGAACTTCGGAGAAGGGGTAAAGGTATGATGAATTAAGCATTCTTGTTACTCGCAGAGTGCTTCCTTAAGTTTGTATTATTGTCCTTGCTGGAGTCATTATATCAACTATGCTATCGCATGGGTGAATATTCCTTGGCTTAAGGTTATCTACCTCTTCCATTCCTTGAGACTTACGGTCTGAGATGAATTTAAAACACATATTTGCCCAGATAGGTACTTAAAACGACAGTCTGTGATCCTCGGGGCTCCGATAAAATATCTAGAACAAAGGATACATTCAATATATTCAATGATGAACTTTGTCGGCCAGGTTAGTGTCTCTTGAGCGACAATCAAAATGTTTCTGTTCACTTGTTCTATCACTTGACTATAACGCTATGTTCTGTCAATCATTAGATAATAAGGTTCATGACTAGTTTCGAAGCACGGCTCTCTCAAACTCATGGTGTTTCCTATCAACAATGTATTATAGATACGGCGCAAAAGCTCACCACTATAGCATCACGAAAACAGTGTTCGGGGGTTTTGAGGAGTTTACTTTTGCTAACTCAATCCTAGCCGTTCAAGATTCTTACAAATTTGTTAGGTGTCCCATACCACTCATACAATCCCGTCCATGCTTTACTCTAGCTACCTATGCCAACATTTATAACCATGGCTGTCCTCGTCCCAAATGCGACACAAACGCTCCACCGTCTCCCTTCTCCAGGCTGGAGTCGTAAATAACTCCCATGACTTTCTCAACCGACTCCTTCGGGGTAATCGGGCCCTTGAAATGAGGCGCGTATTTGGCAAAGCTAGCATACATCTCCTGAGCTTTCTTTTGCTCCTTTTCGGTAGCTTTATCATCACAGACGCGTTAGTAATTATAATACTTGGTACACGGTAGAATAGGGTTACGAAATGAATATATGGGAGCTGAATCGAAAGCAGGACTTACTGATCGGAGGCGCGTTTGCATCCGTTGCAACAACACCAGGAGAGATGCTGAGGAACAGAATTCCTTCACCGGATAACTCCGCGTGGTACTTGGCGATTGCAATGTTGAGAGCTGCCTTGCTCATAGCATACGGGGCAGACGGCTCTACCTTGTATTGTTTGATCAATGCGAAGTCGGCAGCTCCAGTCGAGATGGAGATGACCTTCTTGGCTTGCCCCTTTCGGATCAGGGGCAGGAAGAGGTTAATGAGGTGGATGTTCCCATTGACATTGGTTCTAAAGGACTTCTCCAAGTCCTCATCTAGAGCTTTAGGGTTCTCGCTCCTGGTTTACCATGATATATTAGCTAGTTTCCTCGCCAAGTCACTGAAAGGTACAAATACTTACAAGTCGAAAAGCCCCAGGAAGGCCGAGTAATAAGAAATGTAAGCACCGTTAGCAATAAGATAGTCCAAGCTTCCTCCGGTAATTTTGGCAGTTTCCTCTGCCGCTTTCTGCGCACCCTAGGTATTAACAAGCTGTCCCACAACCCTGATAAAATGAGCCAGCTAGCTGTCTTACCTTCAGAGACTCGTAGTCATCTAGATCTCCGTGGACAATATGGATATTGGGGCGTCCGATTTCAGCTGCCTTCTTCTTGGCTGCCTCCACGTTCCGAACGAGTCCAATGACAATTGCCTCTGGATTCTCGGATAGCTGGCGTAGGAACTCGACCTTTATCATGGATTAGTATCTCTTCGAGCTAGGCTAGGCTGTCTAGGTATTAACACTTACACCGAGTCCTCTGCCCGCACCGGTAACCACGTAGGAAGGCATTTTATAAGATCGGTTTAAAATTGTTGGGTGAAAAAGGTAGATTTAGTAAGTAGATAGGGGTAAGTAGTAAGTTGAGTAAGTAGTCACTTGTCTGTCTCCTGGGTGGGTGCGTCTAAATGTTGCTGCCTGGAAATAAATATGTTGTTACGAAGAGAGAGCACACGTCTGTGTTTAAATATTCTATTGAAGTTTACTTTTACTAACTACTTATTATATAGCACATGCTTAAGGCGTATAGGAGACGTTACAAATCCAATATTATTGAAGTTTAGCTACGTCGATGTCTGCCTACAATGATGAAAGGTTGATGGTTTCGTCCGTCTAAGAGTCCGTAAACCCGTTTGGCGACCGGGGATATCTCCATTTATTGAGGCATCGTAATACCTCAATTAGGCATAGTGCTCGACGACTTGAGTTTACCTCCGTTTCTCGGCCGTCGAACTTATCCTCTTTCGCATTGGTGCCGGACTGCTGGCGATTATTAATATTGATACTTCGAACTTCTTCTATCCGAATATTGAATTATTCAGCGTTGCTGACGCCGTACATGGTATATATAATAACATTTGGTTAACGGATACTTACCCTGACCGGTGTCATTAATCGCCCCGACGATATATTGCCAAGTATATATATATACACCTGTTAGAATTACGCGTTATTTGGTTGCTCCTTCATGTTATCAAACAGACCTCTGTTTTATCTTCCTTCTGCATTTCCTTTAGGATACGACGTGTTCGTAGGTATTGCTACGTCCTGGAATGTATTAAAGCTACACTTGCATGAACTTCTCAATTCGATTAGTTGTATCTCTTATGTTTATTCTTAAGATGGCATGGCATATTATAGGGCTCTTTCAAGCTTCGATTTGTTGATATAAGTGGGACATGTATCGTAGCTGCTCGCACTTGAGGCCATAACTTGGTTTGCGATGTCTAATAAAATCTTGTTTAGCTTAATATTAATCATGTAAAATCTAGCTTCTAACAACGCCAGTAAGACGTATATATATGCAAATCAAGCCACGTATGGCTGGGAAAGCCGCATGAAAAACATTCTTCAAGTTTGTTTGTATGTCGTGTCTGGTCAAGTCAAAAAAGAAACTAAATGTGGCTTCAGAGATAATTGACAAGAAATGAAAATTCAAAAAGATGCTCTCGATCGGGGAATCGAACCCCGGCCACCTGCGTACTTGTTCATGTGAATGACAAGCAGGTATCCTGACCACTAGACCAATCGAGAATTTGTACCACCCTGTGGATGGTGATTGGATGTGCTGATTGATGGTGGAAGACTTGAAAAGCAAGCATATATTTCAAGCTTTTAGTGGTGTCAAATTCTAAACTTGCATCTGTGAGAATTTTCTAGCCAGTCATTGTCGGTCCCACCAACCCCGCAAGAACCTTAGCTAGCTGCTCAGCCGGCTTATAACAGGGATCTTGGTGGTGAAGTCTGGCACAAACTGGCGCTAAAAATGAGACTCTATTAACGGTCTAACGGTTCATCGTGGGTTGCCAACTGGCGTTTGCCAAGTTGTCGGTCTGATCTGGATCCATACGACGGGGCTCGTGGCTTTTTTAGGTTTCACCGTCTTCTATGAGTTCATGAACAGCGGATGTGGAAGCTTCCATTGCTTGAGACCGCCACTCTTCATTTCATTCTTTTCGCTTGTGTGTAATAGTTAGCTCAGAACTTCTACTTTATTACTACCAAACATCTAAATCCAAACACAAAATGCATCACACCAAAGCCCATATTAAGCTTTAGAATAAATAAAATACCCCCCGCCATTTTGCCTTCAGCAGTTAGAGAGAGAATTCCCTATTCCCTATGTACATCCACGCTTAGCGCTTAGAAAATACCTATTTAGACCGGCATTTCTTTGGATTGGTTATCCACAATGGCCCACGTCCCGAGATCAGATCAGTCGCAGCACGCCGCGCAGGTCGTCTCGGAACACCTCCCGTCTGGCTACTCGGCCGAATTCGACGGGGCGCCCGCCGCTTCTTCGTCTTCTTCGGCCCGCGCGTCGTCGTCTTCGAACCCGGAGCCCGCAGACCAGGACCTGGGCGAATCTTCGCTAAAGCTCCAGGGGGGTGACATGCACCGCGACCTCTTCAAGACCGCCGCCCGCGCGAAGATGCATAAGCGAGCTGCAACCTTCCACCACCCCCAGGATGTCACCGGGGAAGTCGGGCCCGACGGTGGCTTGACCGTAAGCGATCAATTGGCCCCGGGAGGCTTTCGCAGAGCCTTCATCCAGCAGAAGCAGCAGCGCGAGATCTGGGCCGCCAGGGTTCCCGTAACTCGGAATTTCGTGGAATTCCTCGAATTGTATGGGAGTTTTGCCGGAGAGGACCTTGCCGACTCGGATGATGATGAGGCAATACTCTCCGAGGAGGAGGGAGAAGAAGAAGGAGAAGGGGAAGAGGAGAGGGAACAGCCGAGCGAAACGAGGCCGCTTCTTAGACAGCGGAGGACCTCGCGCGCTGCACGCTCCGCTACCGCCAGCACAAAACAGACCTTTTTTACCCTGCTAAAAGCTTTCATTGGAACTGGTATCATGTTTCTTCCTAAAGCCTTTAACAATGGTGGCATCTTGTTTTCCTCTCTCACCATGCTGGTCATCTCCACAGTTACCATGTTGGCGTTCCATTTGCTTCTTGCCTGCAAGAAAAAATTCGGCGGTGGTTACGGAGAGATCGGCCACGCGATAGCAGGTAAATTCATGCGTGGTTTGATATTATTCTCCATCACCATGTCGCAACTGGGGTTCGTCTGTGCCGGCATGGTGTTCGTCGCGGAGAACATGACGTCGTTCCTGAAAGCCGTTTTGCACAGGGACAGTCCGTTATCCTCCGCGTCTCTGATCCTCATGCAGCTCGTGATTCTCATACCCTTGGCGTTTATTAGGAACATAGCGAAACTCGGCCCTGTTGCACTTCTTGCTGATGTTTGCATCTTGCTCGGTGTAACTTACATCTATTATTATGACTTTGCGCACTTGGCATCCAATGGCATTCATGAAAGCGTCCATCTATTCAACCCTGCAAGGTACACCCTGACGATCGGGTCAGCTATCTTCACTTTCGAAGGTATCGGGCTCATTCTTCCGATCCAGTCATCGATGACCAAGCCGGAGCGCTTCGAGTGGCTTCTTGGCGTGGTCATGTTCCTCATTACCGTCCTCTTTACTTCTGTTGGTGCCCTTTGCTACGCTACGTTCGGCGAAAACACGGAAATTGAAATCATCAATAATTACCCACAGGACAGCAAGTTTGTCAATGCGGTGCAGTTCCTGTACTCGCTCGCGGTCCTTGTTGGCACCCCCGTTCAGCTATTCCCCGCCATCCGTATCATGGAAGGCAGAATATTTGGCTCCCACTCAGGCAAGAAGAGTACCCGCACGAAGTGGATAAAGAATGCTTTTAGGACGGTAATTGTCATTGTCTGCGGAGCATTTGCTATAGTGGGCGCTTCTAACCTCGATAGATTCGTAGCGCTGATCGGGTCTGTCGCCTGTGTCCCGTTAGTCTACATCTATCCAGCGTTTCTCCACTACAAGGGCGTCGCGGAAACGTGGAAAGCTAAAGCAGGAGATATCGTATTCATGGTAGTTGGAGTTGTTGCTATGCTATACACGACAGTCGTCACCGTTATCAACAGTTTTATGAGCTAAGCATTGCCTATCTTGGGGACATGGGGTTTCATGTAAGCCACTAGAAGCTAAAATTAAATCAGATTGTAATTCTTGTCAATATGGTCACGTATTAGTTTCACTAAGGTTGCTCTATCTACATAGTATTGATATTTTTAGAGTAATTATCACCCCTTAGATTACGACGTGGACGTTTCTTATCAAACACCGCCCCCACGGATCTTCCTCATCGCTGGCGCGAAACGTCGCGACCATCCTATGCTTCTCGGAGAGATAAGGGGCGAAGTTCGGTCATCCTCGGTATCTTGTAATAATAATCTTGATAGTAACTCCTACGTATTTGATAGCCTTATCAACCCAGTTGTTGAGTTGGGATATGTTCGAGACCAATCTTGATTATTATCATCTTTGAAACACTACATTCTTGGATAATCTGCCCCGCATGTAGATAAGTCGACATCCTGGTAAGATAGGACTTGAGCAAGGCTTAGGAGGAAATACATGATCTTTCTTTGGATGTTGTTCACTTACCGCCAGATCTTTCCGTCCTATGCAAGAACCGTATATAGTATAGTTTGTAGTTGCAGCAATCCTGTTTTTGCATAGATATTGCGTTACATTGACTGCGGTGCGGCTGGACGGTTTCGGTAACACGGCATACGGTAAGCAATGTATCGAATAAGTCGCCGTGTAGGCTAAGGCTAGACTTCTGTGGCAATTTCTCTTTACACTGGTTTGTCTAACTATGCTATTCGGAAATGAATTAGCAACCATTTATTCGTAGAGGTTTTATTTGGTACGTGTAATGAAACGACTAAATTTGATCATATTCTGTGTTTTTACATACTGACGACGTTGACTATATGACAGTGTTTTTTTTTTTCAAAAATATATAGTAAGTAGACATGTAAGAACGACTATATATCAATAAATGTGTTCATCCCCTCTCCATAACGTCAGCGCGCTGTTGATTAGGCAAACCCATTTCCAGCGTCATCAAATTCAAGCTACTATTTTGAAGCGCAAGCTCAAGTTTTAGCTTGAGTCCTCTCCCATGTAGTTTTCCCTCTTCCTCTTTCCGAGGAACATAGCTTTCAACTCGTCGACGAATCGGGTCGGGGGTTCGTTGTACGTGGCCTCGTAAGCGTCGATAGCTGGCTTCTCCCAGACGAGATCGGCTTCCGCGGGAGAGACGAATCGGGTGCGTCGGTAAATCTTCCAGCCGAAATACGTGCAGAAAGCCACGATGGCCATAGTGTAGAAAGCAAAGAAGTTGCCGACATCCCAATGCCCAGGTAAGAACACCGAGTAACCAAATGTGCCCTCGATGATAATCATCCACGCTAGTCCAATGTACCCACAGTACGGCTGGAAATAGCCATAGTAAGGTAGACTGCGGCGGTCAATGCCCTGCGCCTTTGTCGCATTATAGAAAAAGATGTATGTCAAACTCATAACAATGTAATTGATCATCTGCGAGCCCTGTGTAAGCGTAGCAAGCCATGTCACTACCTGCGCTGTGTTGTTCGACACTTGCAGGAAGGATAAGAACGGGAAAACCATGACGAGAGCAAAAGCGTAAACAGGAATGCCGTTCTTGAGTGTCTTTTTGAAGATTTTGGGGGCCTGGCCGTCGCACGCGAGACCGTACAAGGATCGCATCGCGCAGTATGTGTAGGCATTTCCAGCGCTAAAGATACTGGTGATCATGAGGGCGTTGACGATGTGGGGAAGTATTCCGACTCCTAAGTTTTGCATCGCGATAACGTAGGGCGAGCCGGCAGCAGTTCCGGTATCCGCATTTTGTAGTGTTTCGTCGTTGTACGGAAGCACGGTACCGACGCAAAGCGCTCCGCCAATGAAGAAAATGGCGAATCTCCAGTAAACAGTTTTAAATCCATTTTTGAGATACGTTCGTGGGCGCTCTGCCTCTCCGGCGACCATGGCAAGGTATTCAGGTCCGACGACGGTAAAACCTGCAGAAAAAATAGCACCAAGAAAGCCTTCGAAACGACCCAATGCGCCATCGTGAATGTACTCGGCGAAAGACCCTGGATCTGACCAATACCGAAAACCGTAGGCGTCATGTTTAGGGTTGCCCCCACACATGGTGACTAGAGTAAACATGTACAGGATGCAGATAAGCAGGATCTTTCCACTGGATAGCCAGAATTCGGCTTCGCTAAACGATCTAGATTAGCAAAAGATACTAGTTACGGCACCAGATTGGTCTGGGGGGCGGTCGCGGGGTTCGTGGAGTACAAATCTACGATAATGCCACGATAATGCCCTTAGGCGATATGCTGGGGCCTAAGTTGGATTGGAGTCATGCACGTACCCGAAATATTGCACGGCCACGATATTGATAATGCTATTATTCGATGTTAGCTTATCTTTTGTCCCAAGGTTGTAACGGCCAAGAATTAAAAAAGGAGGGTCACATACGCATAAAGCACGATACATGCTACACAGATAGCTGCTGGAGGGATGTCGTCCCTCCAGTATCCAAGCACCAAATTGATAGCGGATATCTCGAAGGGAATGAGACAGGCTTCGTAAAGGAAGAAATTCCATCCAGCCATAA